TTTCAGGTGGGTAGTTGAGATTTAAAGCATACATTAGACCAAAAAGCATTGCCGTAGCTAATGCAAAGTTATCCAACCCTTGCAAGATGTTCTGGCCTTCAAGGACAATCCCGATGTCGTCAGATCTGTCATGGAATTTGAGAATGTAGGTCTCCTCTGTGGATTTTTGAATGAAGGCTTCGTCACCAGCCTGCAGAATGCACAGACAAAATGAGATTCTACAGAACACCGGGCACTGCTCTGGGAATATTATAACAAATGTAATTTCAATCATTTAATAATGTAGATATCATGAAAAATGTGAACTTGTATATAATGGGAACCAGACAAGACCAAGACAGACAGATGACTGATTACAGATTACTGTTAGACCTCAGTTCTAGGATTGTGGATGGTAGTACTACAATTTTAGAGCCAAGATAGCCAATTGTGCAGTGGTCTGCAACCTTATGGTAAGCAGAGGGATAATCACAGAATGGTTTGTTGTATCTGTGCTCTAGCGCAGGTTAAACTATCACTTTTAGTATTTGTTGCACCTAACTTAATAAAACATGCTATGTGACTGTGGAATGATTACCTCAAAATATATGTCCATTTCAAGGGACTTTATTTAAATTAAATACATACACCACTTCAGCTATTATCACGGGCCAATGGTTATCCCTCCTTAGCATGCATGCCATAGGTTGCAAACCCCTTCAACAACAAAAGGTACAATTTATTAAATTGTATATTTTGGCGAATGTCTTAATTACAGCTGCACGATTAATCGTTAAAAGATTGCGATCTCGATTTAAACACCCACGCAATCCTATTCCTAAATGACGATTCCATTATGCTCGAGTGTTGATGGCGAGTGACTATCAATACCGCCACACATGTTTTGGATGAAAAGAGGAATAGACTATCTCAGAAAAAAAATGCAGAAAAGTTCAAATTTATGAAGAGAATCCTGCCTTGCCTACTTAAGTAGAACATAGGAAAGATGGTCACAAACACACTTGCTGATAAAAAAAAAAAGGGGGGGGGGGGGGGGGGGGGGCGGGGTTGGGGACACTGACATTCTTGATTGAGAATGAGCACTCAAGTATTACTTATTAATTCTGATCAGAACATCCCTACCTGCAATTGTTCTTGAGATCAGATAAGTAATAACAATGTGTTGTCTGTGGTATATTTCCACTGCAAAACAAGAAATGCCGCAAAATAACGGCGCAAATTTTGAGCCACTGAAAATTCTGTCATTTTATAATTAATGATTCATATTAAAAAATACATTTTTACCCCCACTGATCTATATAAATGACTGGATTGCTCATGGAATCCTAAACTCCCAGCAGGTGGTTAAGCCACCAGAAGTGTTCGAGTGGCCATATTGCTATTCCCAACTGAACTGACTTAATATGCTTTTTACGTCCAGCCTAGTCTTACAACTGGGTGTGCGTCCAGATGGTGCAACCAACCCCAGTTCTCTATTATAGATCAGTGTCTTCCCCAATAAAATGTGTATACACAAAAAACTAAATCCTAACATACTTGAGCCATGGGTTCCATGATGGTCTGCAATCTTCTTCCCATCTGCCCTCCTTTGTCAGACAGCAAATCGATCTGTGACAAAAATCTGGACTGTAGGGACATGGTGGTAATACGCTTAAATTCAGCATTAATCTGAAAAGAAAATAAATAAAATCAATGCATTTCAAAATACAGTTGAAATGAAATTTGTAAAGGCATACACTGAAAAAGGGTTAAAAACTATTATCATTAACCATTAGCAGGTAACGTGCACCACAGGATACATATTCTTTAGTCTCTTGTTTAAGGCTCATCATTATATTAAAGACATACACTAACATCAAAGAGAGCTGGCCATCTTGCCCTGAAGTCTTGGATCATGGGTGTGTCTCGAACCACCTCAAATCTTCTACATGAAAATGTCTTGTCCATTTCTATCCTAACCACCTCCCTGTTGTTGCTTTTCTTCACATCTGAAAGATAATAATTCATTATGAAAATAATTACTATTTTTCTTTTTTTCATAAAAAAACAACAACAGTGGCATTATGTAAACAAACCAGCATTTAAAGGGTTACAATTCTGAACATTAATAAATGTTTGGTCATTATGGTTAGAGCTGATCCTGGTTAAAAAAAATGATGTCAGTGAAAGTGGAAAAAATATATAAATCTATATTATTTTTATGACAGTTTTTGGACATGGACATTTTTGTCCATAGTGAAGTTTTAATTGATGCACAAGAGTTAATGAAATCATAGTCTTGTGAAGGTTAATAATCACATTAGGCAGTATCGCGATATACCCCAAAATATAAGATGCCTTAAAATTATCGTTTGTTATACCATTTAAGGTAGCCTATTGAAGACTTTCTTACATTTAAGAAAACTGATCCGTCCGTTTTACAGTTCGTACACATCTTTTTTAGTCGCAAATGCGAGTGAAATGGTTGCACTGTCGAGCCATGACTTGGATAGACTTAATGATAATTCCGATAGCACGTGAAGATCATTAGCATTAGAGAGCCAAGCATGTCACTGCAACTGGAGCTAGCTTCAGTTGCCATAGAAACCATTTCGGGTTTACAGAGTCGCACAGTATTGGCTGGGCTTTTATTTTTACATTTTACTTTATTACAGTTAAAACCATGTAAGACTTTGGTGCGGATTTGAAATATGTCAGTAAAATTTGAGTGTGGCAAGCATTTTATTAGATTTCAGGATTTTCCAATCAGGGAAATTAAGTCGATTAACGTTAGACATTACGTTCTGCAACATCCCCTCCCCCACCCCCGTCGGCGCAACTCACTCCCTGACAGGATTTTCCCATTTGTTCCAATTAAGGCTGCAGAGTGAAATTACTTTATTTGAAAGAGAATTCGCAATAAACGCAGAATAACAAGTAACGTTATGTTCTTTGTGATCAAATTTGAAAAGGTATAACGTTACAGTTCAGCCAGACAGCATTTTAACATTCTGTAAGTAATCCCCTCCTCCACCTAAAATTCATTGGCACCACTCACTCCCTGACGTGAATTAGTTGTCATACACAGAACAAATACGAATAAATATGTCTTAATGACTGTACACAATTTGAAAAACGTTAATGCAAGTCATGATATTAAACGGGATACTATTACCGTTAACTAACTTAACGTTACCTACATTTGCACTAGGCCTAACTTTTGCCTTTCCCTCAAATCAGTAAGGCAACTTACATTAAAAACGTTCCCTCAGTGAAAATAAGTTCAAAAGGACTACAAACTGTTACTCAATGCCATTTTAGTTCAAAATGTTAATTACCTTCAGACTGTAGCGTACCACCACGATAACTTGCAGCTTCCACCTTCCAAAGCGAGAGAGAAAATGGCGGACGGGCAGAGCAGTTAACTGAATTTCATTTGCGTGTTCCCATGGGGGCGGAGTTTCCAGAGAAAACATAATTAATTTCTTTCATTTCAACATGATTCATTCTAAAAGGTTGAACATCCTTCAACATTAAATGAATGGCACAAGACTAAAATATGTTTAGATGAGAAACATAAAATAATCATGTAGGAAATACGAAATGCATTTAGGCAAATTCAACAATCTCCCCATTGCCATTTTTTCAGTGTACAACCTAGAAGCTTTGCGCAGTTTCACTACGTGAAATCTCGAGGCCCACAGAGAAGGAAATGAATAGTTGAATAAAGTCGTTATTTTTGTTTGTTTTTTGTGCACAAAAAGTATTCTCGTCGCTTGATAAACTTAAAGATAGAGCCACTGTAGTCACTTGGACTATTTGAATGATGTCTTTAACTTTTCTGGGCCGGCAAGTTTCGATCCCTTAGAAGCCAATGGAGGAGTGAGACAGCTCTCAGATTTAATCAAAAATATCTTAATTTGAGTTCCGAAGATGAACGAAAGTCTTGCGGGGTTGGAACAACATGAGGGTCAGTAATTACTGACAGAATTTTCATTTTGGGGTGAACTATCCCTTTAAGTAAAATATTATTTATGGTAGCAAAGGATAGAATATTATACAATTTCTTATTAGCATATGAAACAATGCGTCCATTGGGGATACCCAACACCAGTGAGACTGGGTCAAAATCCAACTGAATATTAAAGATCTTTTCCAATTCCCAAACCATGATTGCAGTCTGTTACATGACCACAGAGTCATGTGTTAAAATACCTATTTCAGTTTTACATTTTAAACACATTTTTAAAAAATGTGTGCTATTAGGCGAAATATGGAAATTGTATTTCTCTTGTACATGTACAAACAGATCTTTTCTTGATTTACCGCGAGTACAATATTTACCATGCCTAATATCAATCTAGCTCACTGCAGTGTGCAACAAGTGTCTCATATAATAGCCGCCGAGTGAACACACAGGGTTGCATTATAACAACTTTCGACACACTCAAATGTATCTAATTTGATAAAACAGCTCTGCGTTACCCCACATACGCATGACCGGAAGAAGCAGAATCGGCGTCCGCAGCATAATAAAAGCTCCACTGCTCTCGAGCTGTGTGTTGTGCTTGTCTCTCAATAGCAATCGCTCCAGCGGCCTCGTTCCACTCCAACGGCTTTCGTAACGTTAATAAATCTTTAAAACATTACCTGTTATCCATGAATATGATTTCTGCCCAAGTCCCATCGTATTCTCCACCGGCTGTAGAGATGTGGACAACAACTCCCATGATTCCGCAAAATCAAGCCAGCCTTTGTTTTGAATGAACGGCCTCTGGTGGCGAAAAGTTACATAGTTTGCCTTTAACTTGTAATACTCAAATTTAAGTTTTCAGTTGATTTTCTTCATCAGTAATTAAATGGAGGACCTTATCACTGTAACTATTCTAACTACACTATTTCAATATTAAAATTATTTTACATTTTAAAGCAGCCTTTCAACTTAAGTTTCTTTTTTTTGTGTATCACATTGTTTGACTTGAGATGACAGCATGTCTATTTGTCTTTTTATTTCTAAACAGAGATCCACGGCTGGGTTAGCCATTCCATTATGTGCCTTCCAGGGCACCATTTCCCTCCATGCCCCCACGGGCAAAACACTGTCCCTCTCCACCTATGAAGTCAGCAGCGATGGCCTAAAGATCTCCTCCAACAATGCGAAGAAAGTTGAGGTGTACCGTTCCAAATCGGTGGGTCATGAACCTAGTGCAGAAGAGCCCAACTCCAGCACTGGGGGTGGGGGAGTTGGAGACACAAATGTAAAAATCCACCTGGAAGTTCTGGAGATCTGCGACAATGAAGAGGCCATGGACAGCGTCTCTATTGTCTCCAATATCAGCCAGTCATCCACACATGCGCGTTCGCCTTCGCTGCGCTACTCTCGTCGTGAGAACCGCTTTGTGTCATGTGACCTTGGCGAAACAGCCTCATACTCCCTGTTGATCCCCACAAGTAACCCGGACACGGACAACATCAACATCCACATTCCGGATACGGTAGAAGCGCACAGACAGAACAGCCGGAGACAGCACCAGGAGACTGGAGGTTACCAGGAAGAGATACAGCTGCTCAATGAAGCCTATAGGAGGCAGGCAGGTGATCAGGGGAACTGACATAACAAGATATACCAGGCTATGCCAATGGACTGAGAAGTCCCAGGTATAAAAGTATAGAATGTTTGGATGAAAGATTGTGACAAAAGCTCATAGTGTTGCAAGTTCAGGGTAGATTGAAGCACCCAGACCTGAAAATCTGATTACCATCTAAGCACAACTTGAGTAGCAGTTGATCAGAGGTTGCAATGTGAAAATACAGTTTTTGAATTAAGCACTGGAGAATAAGGCTGAAGTCCTTAAGTGGTTGAAAGTGATGTCAAATAAAGGTTATTGGGTACGAAGAAGGAGGAATGGACTCCCTTCTCTGATGTTCTTTCATTTATTGAATACAAATATAAGTGCGTAGACAGAGGGGCTTGAGGAGAGGGTTGAATAAAGAAGGATAAATAATGTGTATGTTCGTCTGTTGAGATGGACAAAGAACGGGTTTCCAAGGGCGTGTGAAGAAAGAGAAAAAGCTAAAATAAATACATTTTAGTATTCTATCTCAGGCATAGACCATATGAAATACTGAAATAAAACATGCCAAATGTGTACATCGCTAAATATTTTGGGGGGGGGGGGGGGGTAGCTTTTTTTAATTATGTTGTTCTGCATAACACAGTCAATGTGTATTTACTCAGTTATCTAGTGTGTGGGACTGTTTAAAGGAATATTCTGGGTTCAACACAAGTTAAGTGAAATCGACAGCATGGCGTAATATTGATTGCCACCATATAAATAAATGTAATGTTTTGTAATGTACATTTTTAAATACTCAGCCACAAGATGTAAACAAAATGTGCTAGGATTATTTTAAAGTAGAGCAAGTTAAGCAGTGTGAAAAATAATGTTAGAAAAAAACTTTAAATTTATATCCAATTTTACAACTTTGTTGCCATGACAACATAACACCTAAGAACCTAAAATGACTGCAAAAATGACAAGAACAACACGGAAGCTCAAATAATACACACATTTAATATAAGAATTAATGTTAGTGCTTTTAAAAAAATTACAACCTTCACATATGCGTCTAAATCCTCCAAAATTGGGCTCTATTCACTTTCATTGGAAGAGCTTCACTGTAACCTTGATTATTTTTTCTTTCTTTCTTTTTTTAAAGGAAAACTAGGAAAGTGTGGAAATTAATTAATAAATATCATGCCAAAAATGCTGTCAAAAAAGCTTGATTTAAATTAAGCCAGCAATATACCTTTAGTTGCAATCTTAGTATGAGTTTATATGTAAATGCTGATAGCTGTATGTATGCTTGCTTCTGTATGTTGGTATTTGTACATCTTTTTTGTAGTACTAAAGCCCTGAACTTACGTTCTGCTTACATTTCCGACTTGACTGTTGAAAAAAGCAAGAGAGAGATTCTGTCAATGGAACATTCCACAAATGTAGATGTGAGTGTGATGCATGGGCCTATTTTATGTGTTAATGTGTGTGCAAGTGTGCAAATTTTTGAGACACTTAGGAATCCTTTCCCCCATTTTCAGTGCACTGCATTTGCAATCAGAAATGCGACCCTGGCCACTTGCTTTCATTTAATACTGGCCTAAATTCAGCTCTGAAATGGAACATTCATGGATGATTCAATAGATCCCAGTAAAATGCAGGCATGATTACGCTGTTTTTCATTTGAGCTCTGCCATATCAGTGTGTTGAACAACTATTTAAAAATGTGAAAATTAAATACAAAGGCCATTCGTGGAGGCTCGTGTAGCTCTAATAATTATTTATAATTTACTGTAGACATTATTTCTTATTATTTTAAAATGTTAAATCAATGTGTTTTTAAATATATGTATTGTATATTCAGAATAGTAGATTATTTGTCTTAGCCTTGTGTTGTCAAACAAAAAATAGCTGAGGCTTAATGCTACAAAATATTTTCATCTATTCAGTGTTCTCATTAAAGATTTATTCACATAAAATATCCTCATTTAAGAGTGTAGATGGGTTAATTCCCATTTGTATGCCACAGCTCTTCATTGAACTGTCTCCCATGGTCTTTATATAAATGATCCACATCTGCAAATGAGACAGAAATCCCCATGTCTGGATACTTAATGATGTTTTTGAGATAGGAAACGTCTCTTGCAAATTATAACTTACATTTTATGTAACGGCAAAAACAGCTCGATATCTAAAGCCTTTAATTAATGTTTTTTTTTATTTTATATGTTATTTAGCAAACACATGTCTGTTTCACGTAACGTGGTAGTGGAAATAGCACAAAGACGAAGGGAGTATGATGATAGTCTTTAATGACTAAACTCAGGAACCAGGAGAAAACCACACTTAACATTAACGAGAACAGACAAAGACTGCGGGAGAACACAGGGTCTAAATACACAGAGCAAACAAAGGAACTTAATGAACAGGACACAGGTGAAAGAAATGACTAATCAAACAGCTTGGGGAAAAGTCACAGGGAAACACGACACAGAGCATACATGTAACAGTCTGGGAGAAAGTGTTTATTAATTGGAAATAATGATTAAAGCTGAGAAAAAAAAATTGTCATGTAGCCTAAGTGTTCATTTAATATCCACATATTATAGTAAAAAAAAAAAACACTATTTGCTTTATGTAGGGGAGAGACTGGGGCCAGTTGTCACACAGTCGATATCAGTAATTTAAAAGGCTTTCCATTTTGAAAAAGAGGTGCACTTAATTGTATTAAATGTGCACTTGTATTCTACTTAACTTTTTTTAAGTATTTTTTTTTAAAACTGCACTTGCAGATAATATAGTATTAACAAAAATAAAAGGCCACTTAAGTGTACAAATTTATAGTTCACCCAAAAATTTAAATTGTGTCATAATTTACTTAGCTTCAAGTTGTTCCAAACCTGTATGAGTTCACAAACAACACAAATCAACTTGAATTGCTCTGTTTGTAAGAGAGGCATGTTGCATTGTCTTGAACTGTTGCATGTTGTGTGTGTGTGTTTTGTGAGTATAGTATAGAGAAAAGGACCCACAATTTGAGAAATTGTGTAAGCAAACTGTAAAAAAAACCTGTAATATAAATTATCTATAATAAAAGCTATAATACATTTACATTTAATTGCAATTAAATACCTGAAGTGCCTGAAAAAATTACATTCTGTTAAGTATATTCCTTTAAAGTAATACTTTTTTTAAAGGTGCAATGTGTAAAAATTTTGAGTATCTATTAACAGAAATGCAATATGACATCCATAACTATTTCCAGTGGTGTATAAAGAACTTACTAAATAAACCGTAATGTTTTTATTACCTTAGAAGAATGAGACATTTATATCTACATAACCGCGGGCACCCCCTTCTATGAAGGTCGACATATTGTGACGTCATGTTTCTACCGTAGCCGACAGCGAACAAACAGCGCTACAGAGCGCGTTTCGTCAATACGTTGAAAGGGATGCAGCAGAAAGCTAGACGCTAGCCATAAACACCATGAGTAGTGACTTTTCCCTTGTCAGTGGTGTAAAATATGTAGTTGGATTGTTTCATGTAACTTAGTTCTTCTCCCTCGCTGTGTTATGGCTTTGCTATGTGGGGATAAATGTGCTGGTTACGTTCGTGAGACAGCTGATTAGTACTCTTGTCATTGACCGTAAAACAGTATGTTACAGGAATCACCAACCCGTCGATCGCGGTCGACAAGTCGATCTTGGAAGCATTTTAAGTCGATCGCGAAGAGTTTTCAAAATCAGAGAAAAAAAGCGTATTGTGTGTAGTAAATGGTGTCTAGGGGATGCGGAGGCGCGCGCGCTGTTACAATCATGTCATTTTTGCCGCGCGCACCTTTGCGCTCATGCGGACGCGTCGAGTTTAAACAAGGCTTTACGCTTTAACCAGCTCAGCCACAGTAACAGCTCATATTTAGCCAGCTAAACTTTTACTACCCTGTTAGAAAAAATATATAGTTGCATAGTTTCATGTGGTTCTTCTCCCTCGCTGTATTATGTGTTTGCTATGTGGGGAGAAATGTGCTGGTTACGTTTGTGAGACAATCAGCTGATTAATATTATTATATTATATATTAAGACCCTTGATCCTCACCTGACTATGGCTTTGTAAACTTTATCCATGATGTGGTTTATAATGGACTGTGGTACAGAAACAGTGACAATGTTACACACTCTTGGCTTACACGGCTATTCTCTGCTGTCTCAGACGACGATATGTTTGTGCCGTTTTAGCCACCGTAGCTTCTTCGAAAGGGAGGGGTGAGCAGTGGGCTGAGCCCAAACTCGCAACCGAACCGCTAGATGTCGCTAAAAATCACACACTGTACCTTTAATAGCATGCTAAAGTGTACTTCTTTTTCACAATAGAGTAAATTTAACAGAACATTTTTCTTTTCTTAGAACTTTCTTAATTAGAATATTTTTGTGAATTATCCTATCAAAACAATTTTTTTATTAATCTGGGTAAACATGTGAAGAAAAAAAAATACATTACAAAATAAACCAACTTTGAGTAACATTAGTAAAATGTGTGACATCTAGCCCTGCCCCCATTTACTTATTTCCACATTCAGAATCCTTGGATGGATTTCCCTGAAAGACTCTTTTACAAGTACCTTTATTATCCAAAGGACTCTCTAAATCTTTCAGAAATTATATAAAATATTATCACGTCTCCTAGGCACATTTTCCCCTGCCTCTTTTGCACCTGCAGACAGCGGTTGCTGAAGCCACAGGGCATTGGAGGGACTGCGGGCTGATTTGGAGTGACCCATCACAAGTTCACAGCAGAGCTGCTCTTAAGGAAATGAAAGCTCTCTTTCCTCCATTTGTGTTTCATCTCAGCTACTGCCATTTTGAAGACTGACACACCCCCTCAGTCCCTCCTCCCTTTTACAAACAAGGCAAGTTCTTTACAAGAGCATGCCATTCAGATTGTGTTTTTATGCAATTAACTGTCTGTGAGTTTGAGTTATATCTAAAGCTATCTGGAGATGTTATAGAGTGACAGGTTACTGGAAATGGGGGTGTTAAATCAGCAGAGAGTGACAGAGGCGGTGATTAAAGAGTAAAAGTCAGAACAAGATGCTCCTCGACATGAATAAAAAAGATTTTGTGGAGCAACCTGTACTGGACAAGATGTTTATTAAAAAGGTAAGGACACAAAAGAGAAAAGGGAAGAAATAAGAGATAAAACAATACTTTTGTATTTGCTAAACAGAGTGTCATTTCTTAGCAGCAAGCTCCTATTAAAGGATTAGTTCACCTCAAAATGAAAATTTCCTGATAATTTACTCACCCCAATGCCATCCAAGATGTTCATGTCTTTCTTTCTTCAGTGGAAAAGATTTCAGGATTTTTCTCCACACAATGGACTTCAATTGCAACCAACGTTTTGAAGTCCAAATCAATTCAGTTTCAAAGGGCTATGAAGTGCTTCAAACGGCTCTGGACGTTCCCAGCTGAGGAAGAGGGTCTTATCTTGCGAAATGATCAGTCATTTTCTAAAAAAAATTAACATTT